TCTCCAGTTGCCTTGATCTATCCACTATCCTTCTCCTCATCTTTTCCTCTATCCCTCCTATCTCATCTTGCTTTAAATCTTCTGTAACCCCTTGCGTCTTAGTGGCTTCTCGCCTTGCTTGGGGTGAAACGTTTAAAAAAAATAAAAAATTAAAAAAATAATAAAAAAATGATAATAAAAAGCTGTGGTATTTGGATTAATTTATCTGGATTAATTCATCTGGATTAATACTCATGTCTGCCTCTTGAGAAATGGTCGGCTCCAGGAAGTTTCAGATTAATTCTGCTATACTTTATTTCAACCTGTCTTCACCAGCAAATGAATCTCTCCAATTCTCAAGGTTAAGGTAGACATATAACCATGTATAAATCTCTATCCAAATAAATTAATCAACATACCACAGCTTTTTAACGTAAAAACAAGATTGTACCTAAGAGGAGTATTACTGTTATATCTGGACTGAGAGTTTTCAATGCTTACTTTGCAACAAATTTGGTTTGGTTTGCTTTGCTACACGGCATATCAACTCATTATGAATTATTTAATGCCGAAATTTAATTTTTTGGAGAGCTTCGGGAACTTAAAAAAATGTATTGCTGGTAATTTTTCTCTTCCTTTTCCAATAATGTATTGATAGTATTTTGTTTTTACTATGTAAATGTATTGCTGGTATTCTTAATATGTATTTTTAGACTTTCATAATGTTTTGACTCCAGTTTGGGGGTTCACTATTACTCCATTGCTGGGACCCTAACAGATGGTACCATCCCGGGTCAGAGTGGACCTAGAAACAACAGCAATTAAGAGGTGGTTCGACGATCCTCAAAACCTCCTGACCAGAGGCCTTTTTGCAAGATGTCGTTTATCATCATAGAACGACTTTACGACAGACAAAACGTTACAAGCCGAGATGTTACGCTGTCGTGTTAAATGTTCAGGTAAGCTCCATTGGTAAGTATTTTTCATAAGGTTCACCTAATACAAAGTTAAAAAAAAAACTACTGAAGGTCGAGGGCTGCCGAATGTGGTGATTGTGATATGAATTTAAGACGAAGAATTACGGAGTGAACTTTATGAGGCTAGGTAACGGTTGACCCTTGACTTGTAAAAGGTTAAAATTGTGGTTTTCGGGGAAGCATTCCCGCAGGAGTGTTCCAAAAAGCAACAGCTCTTGGGTTGAAACCTGTATGAGTGGAACCTCCTTGCTTACAATTTTAAGACGGATAGAATGAAGAGGCGGGGTCGGCTCCACGGATGTTCCTCTTGTCTAGAATTTTACAGATCGGACAAGACATGCTACTTCTTCGGAAAAGAAACGCCTTTTATTGGGTTAACGATAGTATAGTGTGTGGCAGAAATGTTAAGACATTAGCTAGATGAAGACACCATTGCCATTATGTCTCACTTACTATAATGTGGGAGGTATTTCTGCTGCTCCTTGAATAAAGACGTGTTACAATAAAACCAAAAAAAAAAAAAAAAAAAAAAAAAAGAAAAGGAAAATTAAAGAAAATCTAATTAAAAATGATAATAAAAAATAGCGTTTGGATTAATTTATCTGGATTAAGGCTCATACACGACTATATGTCTGTCTTAACCTTGAGAATTGGGAAGATTAATTTGCTGATGGATATCGGTTCATGTTGACCAAGAAATAAAGATATCCATAAAATGTCTTCAGTTAAAGAAGGTATCTGATTATATCAAGTGTTTAATTTTACGAAACGGTGTAGAAGAATGTTTTGCCAAAGGACGGAATAATCTTAATGGTATCGTTAGATACTTGGAAATACGTTTGCGTCTGGATTATTGGATTCTTGAGGAATAAAAAGGAGATTTCATAGGGAAACACATGAGTTGAACAAGGTCTAGGACGGAGGAAGCCTATTAAAGCCCAAAGGATTTTTAGAAGAAATTGTTCGATGTTTGAGTTTATTGAATTTCGTTTTCTTCTCCTTTAGGGTGTGTGTACAAGTGATGCTTGATGCACGTGTCTATATGTGAGTGTATGTGATAGAGAAGGAAGAGCGAATAGAAGGAAAGATGCGAAAATGAGAAAATAGCAGAAAATTCTTTGGAAAACACAAGGGACTAAAAGAAACCTGAAGAATACATAGTTCTATCGACTGATCAGATTAGGAACAGAAAATGGGGGAGAGTGGGGTAAAGAGGAATAAAAATGAAATTTTGAATAAAGGACGGAATGATAATGGTAAAAAGGTACACAGGTAGATCAATATATAAGTATAAGGGGACAAGAATTAAGGAACACTTTTGAAATACATTGGAAAGAAAAAAAGAGAAAAAGGGCAAAAAAGTATATATTATAGGCATTTAAGTTCGGCTTAGTTTGGCACAAGGTCATAATTATAGCGCACTTAGTAATCGAACTCACGACTCAGTTGTAATGATATACAAGTCAAAGTTATCAAAGAGCAAAGCGCCCATCAGAAGTTTATAGAGAATGTCCCCCCAAATCACTTAGGTGTTTTTAAATTGTCGGCCATATCTTTGAAACACCGGTTCTCGTACGATAACCGAAGTAAAGCAACGTTGACTATGGTCAGTACCTAGATGGGGGACCTCTTGGGAATACCATTTTCTGTGAGCTTGGATATGCGAATGGGGTAACGGATAATGGCTTGGAATTAGAAATCGGAGAGCCGAGTTCCAATTCCAGTCGGGTTCGTTATATTCAGTTACGCGTAAATACCCCTGAGATCAATTTCAATTTCTCCCCAGTTATGGGTTAATAAGTAGGGCTTGTATCAGTAAATTATGATCTCCAAAAAATTCTTACAATTTAAAAAATATTTTCTGCCTTTAAATACCCTGAAAAGGTTGCTAAGCCGTAAAAAACAATCTCATTAAAAATGTCATGACAGTTAAGCTTTTTTGCCAAAATTTTATTTTATCTTTGCAGAATTTATTAATAAAGGAAAATTTTCCATTGAGAATCTCACAACTGAAGAAAGAAGCAAAATTGAGAAATTTTATTTTGGATTTATCCAAACTTTTATTCAGATAATTCCGAAATTTTATGGCCATCACGTTCCCCTGATCTAACACCTCCAAATTATTTTTATTTGGAAATAACTTAAAAAATGTGTATACATTAATATACTGCATACAATTCAAAGATAATATTTGTGCGCAAATTCGAGGATTACAACCAGATATTAATTACTGTTATGGAGAAAGCTATCGAATGAGCGTGTCTGTTTGAAGTCCAAAATGGAGGATATTTACATCGTAAACCTTTATAAGAAAAGGAAGAAAAATCATGATGTATTCAAAATAGAAATACGGATGAAAATTAACATAAAACATGTTTTCTCTTAATTAGTACAATCGCCTGTTGGTTTCACAAAGAAAAATTGAACCAAAACCAAGTAAATGCATATTATTTGATAATGTTAAGTTTTGTTATGAAGGATAAAACTGCAAAAAAAATTGTGAATGTTATCAGTTTGAAACTCAATTTTAAAAGTTTTATTTTTGCTGTAGGATTAAGTTTTCATTGTAAAATGGTAATTTTTAAAAAAATTATTTTATTTTTTAATTTTATTTTTTAAATCTATTTTTATATTTAATTCAATTTTTTTTTTATAATTTAATTTAATTTTTATTTTATTTATCATTTTGATTTTATTGTTATTTTTTATTTTATTTTTCATTTTGATTTTATTGTTATTTTATTTTATTTTATTTTCTATTATGTATTTTTTATTTATTATTTTATTTTTACAGTGTTTAAATTTTCGTTTTTTATGAAACCATTTTTAGATAAAATGTAATTACTAGATTTTTAAAACCTAGGTAACTTCTAGGACGTCTTGTATATAGTTACAAAATTTTAATCTGACACCAAAGAAAAAGAATCAGGAAAATTTGTGTGACGCCAGATTTTCAGTTGTTCTGTTTGCCCTGAAGAATTCGCATTTAACATTCTGGATTTTTAACAAGATGCTGCTAGGAAACACGACACTTCCACAATCACAAAATTGGTACTCAGACAGGCATTATATTCATCTATAAGGATGTGTGTGTGTGTGTGTGTGTGTGTGTGTGTGTGTGTGTGTGTGTAACGAATGCACGGCCGCATTTTTTGACGGATTTGAACCAAAATTGGCCGACTTTGCATTTCCCAACTCCCATCGATAGTGGAAATAATCGATTTTTTCATGCTTCTACGGCAGTTTTCATTTAGTTTGCGGCCATTTTCTACTGGCCAGAGTGAGAGCCAATAGCTGGCTGCCATAAATAGACAGGAAGATTCTATTGGCCAGCATGAGAGCCTATAGCTGGCTGCCACGAATAGGCCGGAAGATTCTATTGGCCAGCGTGAGAGCCAACAGCTGACTGACACGAATGTTAACTAGCATGCTAGTATGCAAAAAAAATAAAATCGTTAGCTGCATTCATCACAAGTGGTAAAAATTTAAACCTGCATGGCACTTTACTCCAATTAGCTCATTCGCTTGCTTAAACTCAACGTTGATTCTGATCCCGCAGAACTGTGTTGGGTGTAAAAAAGTATTTGTTGTTAACATTCTTTTTTCATTCGGTTTTTCCAGTTACGAGTTCTTTTTTTAAAGCTGATCGTTTTGTTTTTATTTTGTTCTTTTTTCGTAACAGATTTAATGTTTAGTATAAAGCTTAGAAAAAATTCGCAGTGTGAGATAGGCAAGAAGTAAGGCATGTAGCAACATCAGCACGGCAAAGGGCACTTCATTAAAGGCAAGGAAGGGCAAAAATATTTAAAGTCAAGTGATAGCGATTGCTGTATGAGTTGTACGATATCGGTGCATCATCTAAAGGTAGAGATAAATTTATGTTTAGCTATTTTAGAGGTTTTTCTAATAAATTAATTTATTAATGGTAATAGGGTAGAGATTATTTTTAATCATTTCACCCGAATCAAGTTAACAAATCCACCAAGAGGCAGGGGATTACTGAGTGTGAAAGAATATAAGAAAAACATTGACGGAAATTATGACAGAAAATAACGATTGACAGTCAGTTATGTGCCATGCTTGATACACTGACTGACGAGGCAGATTTTTTCCCCGCAGTAGGTTGCCATTTCTTTTTGCGGTAGACCAGTTGCCAGCCAAGACTATAGAACCAGGTCTCTCCTGATATTTACCTGTAGCTAGAGGGAGAAGAAGGGGATTCGTACCTTTCCCAAAGGTATAAGCACGTAAGTGAATGTAATGGATTTCGACTGAGATTCGAACTTGGTTCTCCGATTCCTCAATCCGAACCACTATCCATTACTCCAACGTGCATTTGAACTTGTGAATATCAAACTTCAGTGTTCCAGAATCGAGAAACTGTAAAATGATAAGACATTGCTGCCAATCTAGTACTGAACTTTTTTTTTTTTATTAAAATACACCTTTAAGTGCCGAATCTAGATGCGTCGTCAGTGTTGTCGCTCCCACGTCACTAGAAGTTTCGGGTCTAAATAAACAACAGACTTCTTCGATGGGTGACCCGACCGAATATGATCAGTATTCGGGCCGCACCTAGAACAAAAATTTACCACTAGCTTTAGGACGTGAATTATATAAGTTGCCCCAGTAGACAACAACCAATCTAGACTTCACTTGGGCTATTCGAAGTTATAGATTAGGTATGCATGGTTGTATTGATCTTCCTACATGCGGCCAAGATAGGGTGTTTTTTTTGGAAGAATAGAAGAAAACAAACCAATATATATATATATATATATATATATATATATATATATATATATATATAATATTATTGGAAAAATATATACATATGCAAAATATATAAATACCCATACATGTATATTTTTAGAAAAAAAAAATTCCAAGAGGAAGAAACCAGGTAGAACTCAATGTCTAGGACAGCTTTTTTTGAATTTGTAGGTCTGATGAATTGGATCGTATTTACGATTCCAATGGAATAAATTATGACCATGGAATATTAGTGTTTAAGCCTTTTTATTTTTATATATATATATATATATATATATATATATATATATATATATATACACAAACACATATATACACAAAAAAAATCAAAAAAACAAACGATTTATTATATTGTCTCGTCTTGCGACTTGTTCTTTCTCTACCTCCCCTTTTAACTAACTTATTTGTTTGGTCTTTCTTTTCTTTTTACTTTTTTATTCTTATTTTCTTTTCTTTTCTAAACTACACTTAATAAAACGTTTACAATAGAATGATTAAAATGACAGACTATTTACAAACTTAAACTAGTCATGAATTGTTTGTCGTGTCTATGGTTTTGATTTTTAGTAAGTCACCAAAATTCGTTACAAATTCCAGTGCGACCAATAGTCTCTGAAATTAGTAGCACCACTCACAGAATTCCTTGAGCTATTACAAAAAAATCTGACCCATCAACTTGGGACTATCAGTTCAGCAAAGTATTCTGGTAACTTACAAAATAAAATAAAAGATACTGACATGAAAAATATATGAGTTTAATTTAAATTTAATTTAAATTTAATTCTCTCTATACTAATGTTGCTATTTAATAAAGGTTTTAATTTATTAGAAAAACATTAAACGAATTTACATCCTCCCATTTATATTATTATCTGAATATATAGGAGATGCAGCATAATATGTTATTTCAAATTCATCATATGCACACAAACACATATATATATATATATATATATATATATATATATATATATATATATATATATATATATATACACATATATACAGACACACACATATATATATATATGCACACACACACACACATATATATATATATATATATATACGCATACACACACACATATATATATATATATATACACACACACACACACATATATATATACACTTACATAGACACACACACACACACACACACACACACACACACACACATATATATATATATATATATATATATATATATATATATATATACATACACACACACTACAACTTCCGGTTTCGAAAGTGCTTAAGCTGTCGAGCTCCGTGAAGTTGATTTGCTGAACAAAAAACCTGAGGAAACCGTAGAGATCGAAACCGTGGTCGTGTGCTCTGGTCAGCTTTTATCGTTTCTAAATGTAAAACAGCTCTGCAAATCTGGTCTTCCAACTTTCTATTGAGCACTTTTAATACGTTCAGTTTTAACAAATATTTTACTATTTGTGTTACTCACACACACACACACACACACACACACACATATATATATATATGACATCTGTGAAGGGAAAATTAGATGGAAGAATTTAATAAATTCTCTGACAAAAAAAATGGTAAAGAGAAAACAGAAATAATCAGGGAAAATTAAAGGAAGGAAGGAAGAAGGGGCTAACTTTAAAAAGACAGAATGCATGGTTGTCAGAAAATAAAGTCAGCCGAAAGTGTAAGCTATTTACTGGTGACGACAAAGAAACTAAGCAAAGTGTTAAGAAACAGGAAAATGGCTTAAAAAAAACAAGTGAAACGCTATGTAAAATAAAATTTAGCGTTTGTAGACTCTTGGTGATTGGCAGTTTCACTCTTTTAACGATCATCAGACCATGTTAGCTTAAGGAAAGAAACTGCCATCACTAGTATAGC